CACACACACACACACACACACACACACACGCGCGCACACACAGGACGTATCTGCTGCTGACATGCTGATGCATCCTGTCAGCAGAACAGCTGACAGTGATGTATTTTGTGTGTGTGTGTGTGTGTGTGTGTGTGTACATGTTTTTGTTACCTGGTAGGGACGATTTTTGACCAATTTCCTGGTACACACAGCCTGGTTTGGATCCACTGTTCCTTATGGGGACAAAAGCCCGGTCCCCACTGGGGGGAAATACCATTGGCAGGTCAGGGGTTAGGGCTAGGACTAAGATGTGAATTGAGTTCAGGTCAGCTATATGGAAAGGGGTCAGGATTAGGCTGTAAAAATGATCGGTAAATGAATGGAAGTCAATGCAAAGTCCCCATGAGGATAGAAGAAAAAAGTATTAGTGCATGTGTGTGTAAAAGGCCATAGTGAAAACAGGGTAACCGAGTGAAAGTGTGTCTTAAAAATCATCTTAAATCTGAATAAAGTGAAAATCTGTTTGTGTTTAGGTTAATTTTGATTAAAAAGATGAATAAAAACTGCAGCTACAATAAAAATAATTTGATCGTCTCTCAGTCAGTAGATGCAGCTGAGCATTGTCAGAATGATTTCAGAAAGCTGACAAGGTGAACCTGTAATCTCCATGTCTGCTTACATCAACAGCTCATGTAACATTTACATTCATTTATTTTTAATCAAGTTCATGAATCTTCTTTTATTTTTTTGCTGTTATTCTTTGAAACTTTCCTGTATTCAGCAGCTGTGATTGTACCTTTCTGTCATTTAGTGCTGAAAAATATTTTTCACTTTTTTTTGAGGAGGAGACAGTTTATTTCATGGCCACTGACATTTTCATATCTAGAACTGGAATCTGTTATTTGAAATGCAATAAAACAGCAGTTTCTGCTTTGAGAGCTGAAGGAGAGGTGAGGGTGCTGTGATGATTCAGTATCAGCACCATCTGTCAAATCAAACACRTTTCAACTTCAGTTAAAGAAGGAGCTGCCTTTAAATTCTGATTTAAATAAAAAAAAAAACATCTAACATTGCATCTTGTTTAAAAAGACCCTGTTGTTTAAACTTCTGCAGAAGTTTGGTAGAAATAGATTTGATAATTAATCAAACTCTTTCAGGTTGTATTTATTTCATTTAAATTAAAACACAAGTTGTATAAAACTTTTGTTTTAGTTTGAATGTTTGAATTTTTTTCTGAAAAAATGTTATGTTTGAAAGCGCACAAGTAATAATTTGACAGAGCTACTTTTATTGGAGTAATATTTGACCAGTAGGATCAGTACTTTGACTCAAGTAAGGAAACTGAGTACTTCAATTGGAAGTAAACAGAAATACTATTAAAGGTAAAAGAGTTTTACTGAGTTGTGGTGAGTAACAGCCATCTTGAATTCTGAACTCACCTACATTCAGACAAGAAATTCCCACTGGTTCCAGCTTTTCCATCTTGTAAGTGGGAAATTCCCATTTCCCAGTACAACTGGGCCGCAGCAAAAGCAGCCGCTGCCACAGCCGTAAACTGCTGTGGAGGGCCACATGTAGACCGTGGGCCTTGAGTTTGACACGTGATTTAGAAGTAACACTTTTATCTAATTAGAAACACGAGAAACTGCAGGAAGAGTGGAAAGATAATTTTAAAGAAAAAATAAACTGTGAACAGATTCTGTGCCTGCTGGTTTGTGGGCTCATCCTGTCCAGAAAAAAAATGAAATAAAGTTCCATCACGGTGTTGCTAAAATGAGCGAAGAAACCAAAACATTTGGTTTGCATCAGATTCAAATTGTTTTTTTTTATATAAAACTTTTGAAGTCACATTTATTATGTTGTTTTTGTCCTGTTTCTACATTTACTTTCAGTGGCAGCCTGTGTTGTGACTGTGCTGTGACCACAGCTATGTGTCTGTGTGCTCGCTGCTACGTTCTGAGCAGCCAGGGCAAAGAGGTCAGAGCAGTTTAAAATAAAAAAAACACTGAAAACATCTTGATGAAAGCCCTTCAGTGTCTAAACGACAACCTGCCATTGTGGTTTGATTTCTACATGGGATGCTGGGTGCACGACACACACTCACATGCACATATGAACGACTGCAGGTCTAGTTCGGCCTCCTGTGGCTCTCGGTGGTCATTAGTCAACTTTAGGAGTCCTGAGACAGAAACAAGCTCCACAGCTGGACAAGGACACTATTCAGCTTCTGAGTTTGCCTTCAGAAAAAGCCTCAGAACGTATTAACAGAGTTTGAGAAGCCAAACATAAATTTTGAGTGCAGGAAATCCTTGGTCTAGAAGCTGTAAGGTGTATTTTCTGCACTCACTTTAGTGTAAAAGGGACAAACATTACACACGCTTCCTAAAAACACAAATAAAGCTGCTAATCTCAGAGAGAATGCGTTCTGGTTTGTGTTGGGAGACATTTTTAGATTCCAAGGACAGTGTTCACTTCCTGTTTGGCTTTCTATTGTTCCTGCAGTGACAGAGATCCTCAGGAGGCACACTGTTCCCCCTCAAGCCTTCAGAACAGCAACCAGTGCTAAAGCAGGAGAAAATTACCCTGACATTTAACTTGTGCATGATGCAAAACAATATATCACACTCAAACAGGGCTGGTGATTACGTGTCGCAGCAAAGGACAAGGTCTGCAGATTTTCATTATAAAAACAACAAACTCTCCACTGATTTCGTTTGTCTATAATGACTTTATGTGTGAGTCACTGCGATCAACAGCTGCTCTCTGTGGCTGGGAGGAAAATCTGCTGAGTCGTCATCCTTCATGTCACATGCTTATCCTTGTCAGCTTCATGTGAACATGTTTGTTAACATGGAGGGTGGAACTGCTCTCTGCTGCCACCTGGAGGACAGCCTGAGTACAGCACAACACCCAAGGGTGGTGTTTTTCTATCAGAAGTACACTGGTCTCCATAAACCAAGGGTCTGACACCTGCGGCTCTTTGAAGCTTTGACCAAAATTAACATGAGATAAAAAAAAATTGGGGGAAAAAAGGCTAGTTTTAGCAGTTTTCCTGTCAATTTGTTTGCAAATATGTGATCAATAAAACAAAGAGGGAAACATGTAGATTAGATCATCCAGGGCAACACGGTGGCTCATTTAGTGGAACTGTTTTCTCTTAGTGAGAAGGTTGCTGGATCTAATCCCAGTTTGCATGTTCTCTCTGTGCATGCGTGGGTTTTCTCCAGGCACTCAGGTTTCCTCCCACAGACAAAAAACATGAATGTTAGGCTAATTGGTAGCTCTAAAATGTCCCTATGTGAGTCTCAGTTGTCTCTGTGATGGACATGTGACACTATCCATGATGTCACCTGCCCCTTTCATTGACTGCTGGATTAAAAAAAACCTAAAACAAACAAAACACGGGCTTAATCCTAAAAAATAAATACTTTTCTTTTAAAAAAAGTATTTGCATTTCATGTATTTTATCACTGCTGGATAGATTGTCTGTTTTGGCTCTCTCGGGGAAAAGGTTTGGGAACCCATGGCCTAAATAAGAATTAGAATTAGAAAAAAATATGCCTAAATTGAGAGTTTAATTGATTAAATTGGATTATGGTTATTTTGTCCTGAAGTGTAAAATTAATAATAAATGTTAAAATTTGTCATATATTTTTAGTTTTATGTCACCACCACTGTCTGGAAAGGCTGCCATTAAAAAAAACAAGTGGCCCACCAGTTATAACACTTGCAGCACATTTTGCAGCTCTGGACACATTCCATTGATGAAGGGGCAGAAATGTCTCGATTGTAAATGTTGCAGACAAAACTTCTGCACACTCAAATATGACAAAACTGAAGGTCAGAAGACTAAAGCAGCTCATTAAAAACACGAGAATAAATCAGATTATTTAAAAAAATGTATTTGTATGTACTTATATAGTGGTGTCAAAAACAGTATGCACCAAAATGTCACACCGACTCACAATTACAAAGAAAAATCTTCTTTTTTTTTTCTTCAATTACAATTATTGAAAAAAAAAAACTATGTACAGAGTAGAGAGTCTGTTGACAGGAAAGTACACCAACTTACAGTCATAATGATTTAAACGAGGCTTCTGCAAATAAAATCAAATTGCACTTGTCTTGGTGCTTTCAACTTTTAAACTGCTTTTCCACTCAGAAGAAAACAACCTTGTGCGTTCACTGTAMAGTCCAGCAACAAGGTGTTTTCAGAATGTGCTTAGAGGGGAGATGAAAAAAAAAAGGAATTCCTTTTTTAAAAAATTTAATTCATCAAAACAGGGGAAAACGAAATTGCTGAGTGGAAATAATTTTTCTCATAATTCATGTTTTACAGAAAAAGGAGTTAGAGAGGAACACTGGCAGGTTGGAGGAAAGTCCTGTTGTTTTCCTGCCATCATATTTTACAGGTGGAAATCTACGAGCTTCGTAAACCCAAATTATTTCCCCAACAACAAACTGTACGGATTTCTATCAAGACGAGAAACAAATAGGAATGAAAAAAAAAGAAGAAAAAAAAAAGGCACAGTCATAAAGTACTCATGTGACCAGCGAGATGAAGACAAAAAATAAATCCTCTTCTGAGTGGACACTAAATAGAAAAAAAGCATTTTATCTAAAACAAACAGTAAGAGCAAAATAATCCGTTCCTCAGCTTGGCAATGGATGAAGCCAGAGTGACTCGCAGCTGAAAGCCAGAACAAACTCCGGCTGAGATCTCATCATCAGAGAGGAACCTGGAACACGGTACCAACACATTCGGACTAAACCACCCACTCTCTCTGCGTTACGACGCTTAAATTAGGATTACAGGCTCATAACGTCCACTCATTCGTTTAACTACAGTCACCTTTATGATGTGAAACTGCTGTCATCACCCTGGTCCGCGGGTGCACAGCCACAGTGCAAAGCCACAACGGCAGAGTTAACAGAYGCGGGAACTGCTGAACAATCTTCAAGCTTTATCAAAATAAGCTGACGCTGCCAAATGGAACGAGGTGCTGAACAGTGCCCGACTGCAGGAATGAGGAGRTGCTTCTAAAAACGGTTAGATTCAAACAAAACAATACAAAAATAATAATAATCTGTGGACTAGTTCCTCCTGCAGCCTCCAGCGAGTAATTTATGGAAACTGTGGTGCTACTTAGCAAGGCAGGGAGTGGCGATCCTGCCTCGTTTTATACCCAAGAACTAAAAAAAGTCTAACTTTACTTCAACCAGACCAAGAAAGAAACGTCTGATGGGTGAGTTGTGAGAATCCACCAAGAACAGCACAAAAAACTATACAGATGATCTTAGTCGGGCTCATCTTTGAGCACACATACAGTCTTTGTGGCGTCTGCTTCGGGGTGAATTTACGTTTGTGAGGTAAAGGTTTAATTTCTGTACAGAATGTGTCTGCGGTAGCGTGGGACCAGTTGCTCCCTCTGGGGCGGCGCCGCTCTTCCTCTATTCGCTTTTCGTCTTTTTGCTGTCGTTCCCGTTCTCCTCCGCCTCTGCCCCTTCTGACTGCTTCCTCTTCCTCGTGTCGTCCGGCTGAGCGGGGTGTGGCCTGAACGTGACGATGACGCAGGTCATGTTGTCGCAGCCTGTCCCGTCTCCAGATGTGTCGGGCGCCAAACAGTGGTCCAGCAGCTGTTCGGAGGACAAGCAGGAACTYAAAGAATAACCGACAACCACCGAGGATAAAAACAGCCACGAAGCAAACATTTACCTCTTCAACTGTGGATGAGAGGGGCCTGACTTTTCCATCTTGGTCTGGTTTGATCCTCTCACTGATGAAGTCCACCACCTCCTGACTGCTTAAAACATTCCTGCAGACACATTTAGACAATTAGCATTTAAAGTAGGACACATTTACAGTTAAAATCTTCTCAGCTCACCATATGCCGTCACAGGCGATGACCATGAAGTCGTGTTCCTCGTTCAGAGTGAGAACTTTGATGTCGGGCATGGCAGAAATCATCTGCTCCTCTGGCGGCAGGGACTTGTTCCTTTTATAGAAGTGGTCACCTGGCAGCAGGAGAGAAGCATTTGTATTGATCAAACCATGTATCAACAATAAAAACTAAGTCCTCAAAGAGAAAACTCTTCAGAAAGCCACCCACCAATGGCTCTGGAGAGGTTCAGTCCACCGTTGACTCTTCCGTCTATGGTCACTTTGCCTCCAGCATTTTTGATGCGAACCAGTTCCACCTCATCCTCTGGCTTGTGGTCGTAGGACATGTCAACAGCTTTGCCTACGGCAGCACAGAGACAGAGCTTTTATATTTAATGCAAGATAACTGAAGACCTCTTTGAATATTTATGTCATATAAATGTCCTGATGCATCTCAGTAATCCAGGTAGAAAAATCTAAAAGAAAAAAAAAAGTAGGTTCTCTGGATGGTTTCTTCTTCAGTGAAATGTTTCATCTCTCCTCTAAGAGACTTCTTCAGTCTGATGAGTTTCAGGTGGACTCAGCCTTATAAGCACTGCCTCCACATGGTGGACAAACAGGTTAGTCACATGCAAAAATGTCATATAAGTATTTAAATTCATGCCATACTGCTTCTGATCTCGGCTGCTGCTGTGACGAGTCTTACACTTCCTGTCATGTCCTGTTATGCTACATTTTTACCTCAGGAACGTCTGCAGGACATGTTTGTCTTTAAAACACAAAACAAAACAAACAACTGAAAAACAGTAACACATATCTTTAACAAAAGTTCTTATGAAACTCCTGCTGCTGCTGTACATGTCACTGTACGGGGTTTCTTCACACTGGAGTGTCCACAAAAAATAAATAAAAAAAATTAATAAAAATAAATCTACTTTGATATCTGATGTTACTTTGACCACAAATCTGTCACAGCTAAAACATCTGCAGACAGATTCCTCTGTGCTCTCTCCATCCAGGAGTTTGTGGTYGTTTGACTCTTTATAAACGTCTGCCTATGAGTACTTCCAGAAGTGAAGTTGAAGCTAAATATCACCAAGCACTTTTMAGCATAAACAAACACGCCAAGAACTTCTGACCAATCAGACAATAATTACATATGACAAGTGAGGGCGAAAAGTTTGACTCGAGCCTTGTGACATGAAGGGGTGGGCGACACGCTACCAACAAAATGTTAAACTACCTGTACTGACCGTCAGGTTTCACAGGTAGTCATTTAAGTTACAATACTGATGTCCAACACCTCAGCTGGCTGTAAAGAAAACGAGAATCGCTACAAAAATCAAAAGCATCATTCAAATGTTACAGATGCTACCAGAGCCAGTGTCTCCATTTACAACAGAGCAGCTCTTTTTCAGGAAATGATCAAACTTCACGGGTCAGAAAGTGGGTCATCCTCACGAGATCCATGTCTCTAATTTTATTTATTTTTTGTACTTTTGAGTTCAGTCACAAAAATCTCATAATTCAACTGCTGCACCGAAAACTGAAAGGAAAAGAGTCTGGATTTACCTCGTTCAGAGACGACACAGCGAGAGTCACCAGCGTTGGCCACAATCAGCTGCTTCCCTCGGATCAGCGCCACAACAGCTGTGGTGCCGCTGTCTGAGCCGGGCTGAGGACACAGAACACATCCGTCACATTTTCATTAGTTGACGTCACAATAAGGTCAATTAAAAAACAAAACTTTTTTTTTTTGCTATCAAATAGAAATCTTTTGATTTACACTTAAATTAATTAACTTCTAACTTGGTTTTATAAACTTTTATAAAACTGTGCTACATCCTTTTAGTTGTTTAATCCAGCAGCCGGGTGGTTGCACAGACCATCATCATCATCACTTCRTCACATTACCGAGCCGTAAAGCTGGCTCACAGTTTCACCTCAGCAGATTCACATGGCTTCGCAGCACAAAGACACATCAGGGTGAGGTGGGCTTCTAGCCCCTCGCTGCCTCGATCCGTTCAGAAATCACACCGAGGAGACCTGAAGGTGTCTCGACTCCAAGTGTTTATCACTCCTTTTCTACAAACCTCTTCTTTGCCATCCATTCCAGGCAGACACATCTCCTCTTCCTCCTCAGAGTCCTCCTCTCCCTCCTCCGTGTCCTCTTCTAGCTCAGTGCTGTCGCCCTCTTCTTCATCACTTCCATCCTGAAGACGGGGAGAAAAATAACTTTGTGAAGAATGCACAGCGAAGTTATTCAGTGCGAACTTCGGCAGCTCAACACAATGCTTTATTTTCGGTCTTCTCTTCTCACCTCTTCGTCGCTGCCCTCCTCTTCCTCCTCCTCTCCCTCCTCAGACTCCTCGCTGTCGTCAAAAAACCTGGATTTGGAGTTGCCTGAAGCCTGCGAAGACAGAGAGGAGCAGGAAGGTCCGGCGTCTCCTTCAGTCTTGCCAGCTTTGCCCTCCCCGTTAGAGCTTCCTGACTCTCCACCGTCAGCTACAGCGGTTAAAAAAAAAAAAAAAAAGTCAGGGTTTTAAATATGTTTTAACGCTGCAGAAGAACAGACTCCTGGACGCTGTGTTGATACCTGAACTGGTTCCTTCAACTCCTGTTTTCCGACAGGATCTGAGCTTCGACTCACAYGCTGCTCCTGGTCCTTCCTTCACCTTCTCGTTGCTCGCCTCCTCGTCCACTTCGCCATTTACTTCTTCTTTCTTCTGCACCTCAGCGTCTTCTGCTTTACCTCCTGCAGCCCCAGCGTCTGAACAGGATGCCTTCTTGGCTGCCTCACTTAAAAAAGTGAAGCAAAACAGCTCTTTTAAAAGGAAGCTGATTTGTGAAAGCTGTCTTTCACAGTAATGATGACCTAAATAACAAAAAGTCAATGCGATGGTTTGTACCAGATGGCTGCAGCGTGTTTGATAGCGTTGCGGTTCTGGCCGTAGCGCACTAGCAGCTCCTCTATGGTCATGGTGGCCTCCTCGTGGAGCAGAGCTGCCTCCTCTGTGTCCACTGAGAGGACAGAAAAGAAGAATCACTCACACTCATAACAAAAACGTCCTTTTTCTTCTCTTACAGGATTCTATCCTGCGTGGCTTATTGTGACCTGACGGTACTTAAATGTTTTTTGTTTGACGAGCACTCACAGTCATCCTCCTCCGCAACTTTTTCAGCWGGTGGCTCTTCAGTGGGCCGTCCAGAAATCTGCACCAGCTCCTTGATGACCTCCTCCATAGTCATTCTGCTGTCGATGGCCAAAAACGCATCCTCCAGTGCCTGAAAACATGTCAATTTGTCAGCAGCGTAGAAAACAGAAAATAGCTAAATTCAAACTCTATTTTTAATTAATCATCACGTCACAATCAGCAGTACACATTCTCTCAGTCTTTAATAAGGACATGTTATGATGGTTTCTCCAGCTTCTCACCTTTTGCAGTTTTCCATCTTTATAAGCCTTCTGCTCTTTGATTATGTCAGGAAGGTACTTTGAACAGTACAGAGCCACTTCTTCACCTAAACAAAACAAAAATGCATCGTAATAAACACGTTTATGTTTTTATAAAATGAGATTTTAGTAAATAGTTTCCCCTACAGTTCCCTCCTCCATGCTGCAGATAAATTATGGTGTTTTACCTCCATGTCCATCGTACACAGCAAACATAGCCGTGTCCTCGTCAAACTCTGGGATGCAGTTGTGAGCATCCTGTGACACACAAATCAAAGCAATTAAAACCTTTGTAAAAAAACAAAACAAAACAAAGGCTGTATCAGCTGAACTTTACTAATAACAAAATAGTGTTCAAGACCACAACAAAGGACTGTCAAAACAACTTTTAACATTTTCAGAAAACTACAAGTTATGAGATAAATTGCACATGCATCTAATGAGGAACTGCTTCTTGTCTGATAGAAAAACAAAATTATCAAATGAAACCTGACATTTATCCGCACACACAGAAAGCAAGAAATATCACTAATGACAATAGGTACAAAAGCATGCTCACAGCTGTCAACATGAGATTTTTTTAAATTTCATTTCCAAGGCACATGTAACAAATACTTAAACCAGACATCAACAAGATCTCTCTAGCGCATTCAGTCCTCAAAATGTATTTAACCACACGTCAGGGTTAAATAATTCAAAGCCAAGTGAAGTGAAGCTACTATAACATCATAAAATGAGTATGGTATGGACGCAAACGGCTTCTTTAAAAGAACTGCTCCACTTTTCATTTAAAAAGGCAGAGTTTGAGACTTCTGAACGTAGGAAATTTCATGTCAATTCCTCGTGCAGAAAAACCCATTTGTCACGTAAAGAATTTTACTAAAAWTAAAATAACCCACAGTAGTTTCCATTATGATTCATTACCTAGTAATTTTAACCACAAGGTCAAAGGGCATCTATGCAGCCGGACCATGTAAGCATGTAAAATAAGCTTAAGATAATCATATTGTGTAATGCAAAAAATCTGAAACGTGACAATGACAAGTCCTTATCTTGTTTATGATTTTAATAAAGCGGTTTGATTATTGTGAATGTTGTCTGGGAGTGAAAAATGAAACGTTGGATTAGTCTGAATGAAAGTAAGTTTGTTTGTTGTTTAACAGCGTGACTGGATAATCCAAATACGCATTTCACCTAGATGGGAAAAATGTAATAAATAAATAAATAAACAAATAAAAACATGGTTGAGCAGTCGCCTTATGTCTCACCTCCATAGAGACTCTCCAGCCCTGCATGGCAGAAAAGCCGAAGCTCATGTTGCTGTTGCCGCCATCGGAGGTGGTCTTGGTTGTGTTCGGCTGCGACAGATATGCCCCCATCGTTCTCGTTTACTATGGCTTCTCATTAAAAAGAAAGAAAAAAAATCAAATTTAGCATAAATAAAAAAAGACAAATGTTTAACTGAATGATCACGTTTGAGCTGTTCGCTAGTTACGGTTGCTAACTAGCTAACGTTAGCAACAGCACAACAAAAAGTACAAGCATCAGCTAGCTGGTATCTCCATGCTAACAGGAGCCAAACCGGCTAAACTTCCAGATGTAACCTCTGCCCCCCGACATGCAGAGAGGCTGAACAAATGTTCACACACGGAACCTTCAGCCTGGACGGTCCACTCACTTTTTCTGGAACCTTTAAAATGTGCCGAAGATAGATTTACATAGAAATGATCACACGTGTAGATGCAAAAGCCGCTGTCTTTACTCCCTCACTCTGTTCTGCTGCGACTTTTTACTCGCTCTTCTTTGAGTGTTCACGGACGGCTAACGAACCCGTTGAGAGGCGCRTTACCACCACCAACTGGATACTAGTGAAACTACAGGGAAAAGAAAAAATAAACAACTTCAACCAGTGCGATGAATCTAACCCATAATTATGAAATACTAAGTCAAACTTATAAAATATAAGGTCATAGTCAAGCTAGGAATTATATTTCAAATGCTGTCAATGTCATAATAATAAAGAAGGCTTTTTGATTTACAGGATTTCTAWGACTTAATTCATACTTAGAGTAAAATTGTATAGTAAACATGCACAATTTAGTTTTAGAAAATCTCAGACTTTAATTTAAAAAGGCTACAACGTATGGAGAAACAGTTTAGGGATGTAATAAAATATATAAC